CACTGGTACAGATAGGAACTGGAAACACAGGGAATCCAGGGTGGATGATCCCTTCAGGACCAGTGGTGTGAGTGGCGATACTTGGAGGGTAGAGGAAGGGTGGGTTGGAAAGGGGGAACCGATTACAAGGATCTACATGTGACCTCCTCCCTGAAGGATGGACAACAGAAAAGTGGGTGAAGGGAGACGTTGGACAGGGCAAGATATGACAAAATAATAATTTATAAATTATCAAGAGCTCATGAGGGAAGGGGGAGGGGGAAAATGAGCTGATGCCAGGGGCTTAGGTGGAGAGCAAATGTTTTGAGAATGATAAGGCAATGAATGTACAAATGTGCTTTACACAATTGATGTATGTATGGATTGTGATAAGAGTTGTATAAGCCCCTAATAAAACGATTAAAAATAATAAAATTATTTGTAAATTTTTTTAAAAAGTACTCCAATGCAAGTTAAATAATTTTCTAAAATATATACATTGAATTTCAAAAGTACCAGAAATCATGTAATGTATTATTCCTTAAGTTTTACATATATATTTTTTAATAGTGACTTTTTTCTCTCACGCCTTCTGTTCCAGCCTTGCCTAAGTTGTTTCTACATGAATTTTATTTGTTCTTGGTTATGGTAGCATAAAATGTAAGGTTAGTTGTGTACATGTTTTTTAATTAAGCAAAATGATAGTACCAAAATCAAGGGTTTTTTTGACGTGTAATTCAATGCCATTTTCATTTCCTGGCTAAAAGATCTTACTGGATTATCAAATTTTGACCTGACAAAAGTACTATTTTTCTTCACGGACTTTTTTTCTACTGCTTCCTTGTAACCCTTCACTTATGAGGGTATTTCTTTCTGTATCATCACTTGACCTCGAAGGTGCTCATAGAAATTCTTACGTGTCTGGTCATGTTGACCCTAAGATAGCAATCATGATAAGCTAACATCGTCACAATAACTGAAGCACAATAAGAACGTGAGTTACAATATGCAGAGTCCCGCTTTCCTTTTCCCCTTTGGATGATCAGGTCAATTTTCCTTTGCCTGAATTTCTTGTTTTGCCAAATAAGCGATTTGTTACTAAATGCTGATTTCCTTGTGCTAAGATAATATAGGTCAGTGAGCTTGTAGGGACTATGTGTATCTCTACATTTTTTAAAAGACAATTTCAGGTCCTTCCTTCCTTTTTTTTTTTTTTTTATTGTTAGTGACTACAGCACCTCCAATTTTAGTACCTGTGCTGCCGAAGCGAGCACATGGTGACTGCGCTCTCAGCACCTGATAGGCACTTCACTTCCAGTCTTTGATCACATTGTACATTGCCGCCTTGGTTCCTGTCCCACACTGACTTTCACATACGATTTTAAGTGATTAAGCAATAATAATAAATGCCCACTGATTTCTCTGAGAATATAATAAGGCTTTATAATAGCGCTACAGCGACAATACCCTAGAATTATTTTTGTAGAAATATCACTTTGAAATTTTGTTCAGCAACTGTTTTACTCTTCATTTTTGATATTTTATTCTGCAACTAATATAGCTTTAAGTAGTTGATAATTAGATTCTCTTTGTGGCACTCAGTGCAAGCACTCACAGGTGGAAAATATTAGTATACAAAATAACTAACAAAACCTGCTTTGAAAAGAGAGATTACACTGAAATCCAATCTCAAATAGATCATTTAATTTGTAAGATTTTTTTATATCCTGTGAAGTAGATCTGAGCATTGAAAGTGGGGACACAAACACTGTCGTTAATGTAAGCAGATTAGAAGATATAAAAATATACCAAGCCTAGTAGATAAATACTATGAAATTCAAGAATAAAAAATCACTCTTCAGTAAGTCTAGTGGCAGGTAACTTCTGTTTAGGCACTGGCTCTCTAACGAATTGTGGTTCTGCACTGTCAGAGCTCCCTCAGATGTTGTTCCTCCTCTTGCTTATTTTCTCAAAGGTTCTGATGTTCTCTTATTCACCCCAAATGAGGAATTCTCTGTGCCACGTTTTTCCTTTTGTCATGAGTACTGTTTATTTTGCATTTAGCATGCCCACATAAATAATTCACGCACATACATAGCACACATAGAATTCCAATGTTCAAAGTTACTGTGTGGCTTACAGAAAATGTATAACTTGTTCCTTACTTGTATAAAAATAATGGTAATCATTTACCTACAAGTACCTTTACTGATTTTCTTTTTTCTCCTTCCTCTTTCTCCTTTTTACTCCTACATTCTTTTTTGGCTAATGCCATTCCACTTGCCTACCATCCACGTAGGGTCTTGGCTAATATTTTTAACTGTAACTTCTTTCTCTGATTGCTTAGCTTCATGGTACTGATTATACTTTTTAATAGCTTGATTCCACCACACATCTGTCCCTTTGCTGTACAGATACAATGCTGGAAGCACTCACTGTGTATGCCATGACATTTGGAAGACAGACCTATCTAACACACTGAAAGAGACCTATGTATCTGCCTATTGCAAAGAAAAGTGATCCAATGGATTATAGAAATTACTGAGTAATATCATTAGTATTACATGGAAGTAAAATTTTACTGAAGTGTTGCTATAGATAATTCATAAACTGCTATAGCCATACAATGGCTAGAAATTCAAGCTGGATTCAGAAGTGGACATGGATTAAA